CGCCCCCCGCCCCGGGCGTGCCGGCAGGAGCTGGGGAGTGTCCCCGCACAGCCACGGGCACGCTCAGGGGCTTGGAGTCCTCCCCATTTTGGGAAGAGCTCGTCCGAGAGCGGCCCCGACCCTGCTGCCCACCGCGGGCTGCGGCTTGGGCTCCCACCCGGGACGGCGTGTGCGCCCCTGCAGACACACGGCTGCTAAATTTCAAGCAACTCCTCTAGATTTTTAATTTTCCCCCCGTTTTCTTTTCTCTTCCCTTCTCCCAAATTCTCTTTTTGCCTTCCCAAAATCCTTTCCCGGTGCAATCCTGCAGCCCGAGGCGAGGGAGGGGGCGGGATGGTCCCTGCTTCCAAGATTTTTACGAACAATAGTTAAAGAAATCAAACTCTTTTTTGTCTTTTTTTTTTTTTTTTTGGTCTTTTTTTTTTCCCTTCCCTTGTGCAGAGGCCGGAGAGGTCCCTTTGATCTGCGAGGCCTGGCGTGCTCCGAGCCCGCACGCCGGCTGTTTGCGGGGAGGGGGCTCGGCCGCCGCGGGAGCCTCCGAGCCGGGACATGAAAGGGGAAAAAAAAAAAAAAAAAAACCCAAAAAAAAAATTTTAACAAAAAAAAAGGACGTCCAGAGTACGGGAGATCGACCGAAGGGCTTAAATATTTCATATTCCTGGAAGCTGTCAAGGCCAAAAACAACAACACGCCTCCCGCCTCCCCCGGAGTGTTTGCAGAGGGCAGGAGCGTGTGTGCGTGCGAGGGACCGGGAGGCTGCGGGGGGGCGGGGGGTAAAGAGGGTCATAAATTTTCACTTGTAATCAATCAATAATTAACTAATAGCGGAGCGTGGGCCGAGCGCGCCGGCGACAGCGGGTGCCCGGCCCGCCGGGGTGTCGGTGTCGCGCTGCCCCCCGGGCGCTGCCGCTGCCGCCCCGGGCCGCGTTCCGGCTCCTTCTTCCCCGCTCCTTCCCCGCTCCATCCTCGCTTTCCCAGAGACTTTGGACCCGGGGCTAAACCTCCCGTGGGTAAAACGCAGCTCGGCTCCAAAGCAGAGCCTGCGGGAGCTGCTCCGCTCTGCCCGCCCGGGGCGCGGGCTGGGGGGTGTGGGGTGCTGGCTGCCCCCAGCACGCCCCGAGTCCCCCCGAGTTCGGGGCGTTCTGCGCCCCCTCCGCCGGGCCGTGGGTCCCTCCGGGGGTCTCGGGGCGCTGCTCGGGCTGCCCGAGAGGTGGCGCCGCCGCCCCGCCGGAGCCCCCCCGCCGCCGGCCACCCCCACCCAGCGCCGGGTCGCCTGCATCAGCCATAAAACCATTGAGGATATCAAGACAGGCGCCAGGTGAGTAATAGACAGGATAATCCACAGAGATTGCTCGCTGTTTACCTCCTTCCACAAGCGCCACAAGAGTTACTCATTAACGTTACTATATACAAATAAGATACACAAGAGATAAAGCCATTTGCAAGTCAGAGTTACACCTGCGGTACACGGATTTCTTGCAAGGGCATGGCGAGGGGGAGGTCAGCGTTAGGCCCGTGCAAAAGTGAGGGTTTGAAGCAATCAGGCTGCACCCTCAGCCTCAAAGAGAATAAATCGTGAGCTCGGGGGTTGCGGCGCCCCGGGGTGCCGGTGCCTGCCTGGCTTGCGGGGCGGCTGCCGGGCTCCCGGGCTGGCAGGAAAGCGAGATGGGCAAGGGGGTCCTGGGGGTGGGATCTGTTGCTTTCCTCTTGACCATCAGCAGTGAATTCCTCGCCGACTAGGACATTTTCCCCACTCATACGCAGATCAGAGCGGCTCTCCCTCTCTAGGAGCAGTTTGGGGGACCAGCAGCTGAGAGAGGGGGGAAAAAAATTGAGGTTCCCCGCGTGATTCCTGAAGGCAAAGGGATGGGGGCGAGGGGCCGGGGGTCTGTCATGGACCGGTGCCTCGGCGCTGCCGCTGAGGCCGGAGCTCAGCGCAGAGGGGAAAGCTGCTCCCCGGGCAGGGATGGCTGTCCCAGGGCTCTGTCCCAGGGCTCTGTCCCGCCGTCCTGCTCCCCTCGGCACGGGACTCGCTCTCCGGAGCGGCTCCAGCTCCCACCCGGGTGGAGGATCCGTGTGGAAGGCGGCTGGTGGGGCTGCAGCCCTCGGGCTGCCTGCACAGCCGCTGCCTTCTTCTTCGCGTGGATTCTTTTCGTTTTCATTTCTTTGGCCAGACCCGCCGCCACCTCTATCCCTAAAAGCCCCTCCTCGCCCAGGGCAGCTCAGGGGAGCATCAGCTCAAGTGACATTTCCAGCAGCCGTCACCTTGGGCCATCCGAAGGTGGGGGAAGAGGGAGACAAAAACTCCTGCTCAGCCCAAACCTTTCTGCCGCTCAAACAGCGTGGATTCGAACAAAATCCCCATCCCCAAGCTGAAGTGGGAAGGGTCCCGTTTCCCCACGAAGGGGAACAGTTTCATGTTGGTGGGGGAATTTTGAATTTTTAAATTAAAAAATCGAGGGGAAAAAAAAAGAAACCCAAAACCTCACACAAATTCACGGCCACTTTTACCCCTTGGATCTCCCTTTATCTCGCCGGCGCAGGAACCGGGGGCCGCGGGCCGAGGGGCAGGCAGAGCATAAAACAGGATACAGGCTGGAAGTACATCCTTATAATATTTATTACTGGCGGACGATGAATCGCTTTTCAATATACGGGCCACTAACTGTTGAAGGGATGGGGGAAAAAAAATCTCATTAACAAGAAATATATATGTTCTGCTAAAGGATGTGCTCATAGACTGGCAGAGGTACAGCAGGGGCTGCCAGCTCTCCCCAGCTCTCCTCTCAGTGACCTCCCAGGCCACCGCTCCAGCCTGGATGTCTGTCCCCGTTCCAGCCGTTTTCCAGCTTAATCTCGATATATCACGAGCCTAAGGGCGAGAAGGGGCGATCTCAATAAAAGGCCGAAAAATAGATATTATTAAAAAACTCATGTATTTCCAGGTGATAACTAATTGGGAAAGCCAAATCCTCTGCCCGGGCGGGAGAGGAAAACGAGCCCAGCAACAGCATCAACTCCTGAGCACTTTACCTGGAAACTTTGAAGGAGGGCTCTGCATTAAAATTTAACCGATCTATTCTCTAATTCTTCACTTTTGCGTTATTAATTTATGACAGATAAAAGCATAGCTGAGCCTTTCTCATTAACTTTTCAAACGCCACTTAATATTGTTCCATTAAAAGAGGTGACTTTAGTAGCCTCTGGATCGACTTTAAAAGCGAGAGGGATAAAGACGGAAAAGGTACATTAAACAGCTTGCTTAAACCTCGTCCTTCCCCCCCAACAATTCAAATGACACCATCTCGACTGGTTCGTACTAGCTCCTTGCAGGAGAAATATCTTAATATTGGGAACGGGAAAGGGGTGGAGGAGAAAGGCAGAAGAGGGATATATATCTTTCAACCCCTCCATCCTCCCAGGCACTTCGGGGAGGGTTGGGGTGAAGGCATTTCACAGTACGCCCAAAACATTTCAATAAAAATTTATTGAAACTTCAGTGACTTTTAAAAGGGGAGGAAAAAATTACAGAAAAAAAAAAAAGTAGCAAGAACTTCTCAACATTTATATAACACAAAATATACCTTCATTTTTTTTTTCTTTGAACCAGCTCTGAGCACCTGACTTTCAACCCAAGAAAATATGCAGTCACTCAAACAAAGACAACAATAAGCACAGTAGTTAAACTCCTTTGCGGGGTTGTTTCTGACTCACTGAGGAAACGGGTAAAATAAGAGAAAGCACAGAAAATCCTAGAATCTTCACCTCTTTTTTTTTTTTTTTTTTCTCTCAAGCCACTGGAGAAGCCTGTTGTCGTGTATAAACATATATAATTTTGTGGTTGTTCACATTTTGAACACTGAAGAAATCGAGGATTAAAAGCTACCATGGCACACTGCTTCGTCTTTTTTCTCTATTTGATTTTTTTTAAGGTCTTTGAATAATTTGGTTTCTTTCTGCTTTGCCTTTTGCATTTGGCTCGTTGACCAAAGGACGAGGTTTTCCTGGGCTGAGCTCTGATTTAAAAACTGAGCCCGCACAAATGGGGGAATTTCTCCTCTGGGTCGGGATCTATGTTCAAAGGAATTACCAACTTGAAATGAAAACGACTAAAAATAAAAACAGAAGGAAAAAAAAAAGAAGACCGCTGCAGTCATATTTACAGAGATATGTACAATGTCAATAAATTAAAGTTTAATTTCGAGTATTCATATTCCACGTATTTACAAGAGTTATCAAATAATTACATAAATACTTTGTTTTAATAATAGTGTCCACTCTTTTCTTCTTCTCAGTATGTTAAACCTTGTTATTGCATATACAATTAAAGAGGGAAAGCTGTGATAAATCTACAGTCGAGCTACAGAGGTTTTTAGATAAAATAAATTCACTTTTTTTCTTTCCAACTACACGTCTTATTTTTGTTGCTACAAGGGAGGATGTTTAAGGTAGAGGGACAAAGGTCTTATTTTTGTTTTTATTATTATTAATAATAATTTTTCCCTGGGATTTGAAACGAGCATTAAAAATAAACAACAAAACCCCACTGAAATAAAAAATACCACCACCCCCCCTCAAAAAAAAAAAAAAAAAAAAAAACCAAAAAAAAAAAAAAAACCCCAAAAAAAAAAAAAAAAAAAAAAACCAAAAAAAAAAAAAAAACCCCAAAAAAAAAAAAAAAAAAAAAAACCAAAAAAAAAAAAAAAACCCCAAAAAAAAAAAAAAAAAAAAAAAGCCTCCTCTGGAACATGCAAAAAAAAAAGCCACCAACTGGCTCTCAGACATCACAATAATATTTTAAACACACAGCTTCCCTTAATATCGACTAAGGGGGTTGTGGTTAACAACCCGCCCAGGAAACAACTGTTGAAGAACCAATACGTGAGTTACTTACACGCTTTTCTTTCACAGAGAAAAAAAAAAATCATTTCTCTTACTTAATTTTTAAAAAAAAAGCCTCTTGATTTTTTTTTGTGTTTTTTTTTTTTTTTTCTTTTAGGTTTTTTTTTTTTTTTTTTTTTTTTTTTCCGGGGGGTTTCGGTTTTGGGTTTTTTTTTTTTTTTTTTTTACACTGGTAAAAAAGAAAATAAAAGGAGGATGCCACAAACCCCACCGGTGCCTCCAATCCCTGTGAGGAGCCTCCGACCCAGCGCTCCCCCATCCCCGACCCTTTTTTTCCCTGCTCCACCTTTTTGTTGCTAAGCACGCACACAACTCCGCGGGATTTTATATGTTAAAAAATATATAGAAAGAGGGGAAAAAAAACTAAAGAAGGGGTAAAAAAACAAACACTCGCGGGGTGGAGGATGTGGTTTCGTTCAAACAAAGTGCACTGCGAGACGGATTTGAAATGAGCTCCCGGAGGCCGGGGGGTTACGGGGAGCCGCTGCGGGATCTGTCCTGCTTGGGGTCGAGCCCACTGACCAGGCGCTGGATGTTCTGCAGTTCGCTGGTGGCCGCCTCCTTGTCCGCGCCCAGCTTGGGGGACAGGGACACGGAGCCGGACGAGAGGGTGGAGGAGCGGCTGGTGAGGTCCGAGGCGGAGTCCAGGGGCACGGAGCCGGGGCTGCCGCTCAGCCCGCCCGCCTTGCCCTCGCCGGAGCCGGCGGCCAGGCCGGGCAGGGCGGTGGTGAGGAGGCTGCTGCCGTCCGCCAGGGGCACGGGCAGCGGGTAGGGGCTGTAGCGGAGCCGCGGCCGCACGGCGCTCAGGAACGGGTGCCGGTGCACCGAGCTGGAAGCGGCGCTGGAGGCGGCGGCCGCCGCCGCCATGTAGGTGTAGGGGTAGGGGAAAAGGCTGCCGAAGGGAGACATGGCCAGGCCCTGCGGGAGGGGAGGAGAGAGAGGAAAGGGTTACCGGCCCGCACGCTCGCCGCGGGGATCCCGCACGGCGCCCCCGCGCCAGGTGCTCCCCCGCGCTGCCGGCGGGATGGAGAGCTGTCCTCCCGCTGCCCAAAAACACGTGGGTGACGGGGCACACCCTGCCCGGGCTCTGCCCTGCACGGCCCCGCTCCCGCCGGGCCCATCGGGGGCCAATTGGCCGTGGGGTCTCTCCCCCACTGTCCCCCCTCAGCGGGCGATTCTCTTGCGCTGGGGCAAGCGCCCTCTGCCCGCAGGTCCAGCCCCCGCTCCCGCTCCGCAGGGCAGCCCCGGGCACACCCCCCCCGACAGCGGCTCCGCTCCGCAGGCCGGGACGCGCCCGGGGGCTCTGGAGGACAGCGGGGAGGGTGGGAGAGCTCAGGGAGATCACGCTGGGCCACCCTCCCCGCCCACAGCTTTCCCTCCTCCGACCTGCTGCCAAGCCCTGTGACCGGCCCCTGAGAGGGGCACTGGGGGGGACATCGACGCGGGGAATTTAAAGGAGGTGCCCGCTGCCCGCCCCCGTCCCCAGGCTCGGAGCCCCCGGCCCGGAGGGGCGGCGCGGGGGGAACGCAGTACCTGCGAGGCCAGGACGTGCTGCTGCAGATGGAAAGGCAAAGCAGCCGCCGATGCTCCCGAGAGTCCCTGGGCCGCCGCCGTGGCCATGACCGTGTTGTCCAGTCCCGAGACCCCGGCGGACGCCCCGGAGACGGTGGCGAGGAGGGGCCCCATGCCCGCGGCCATGCCCGAGAAGGCTCCCCCCATGGCGAACTGCCCGGGGTGCAGCAGCAGCGGGTGCCCGTTCCCCAGCGGGTTGAAGAACTGCTGGCCGGCCAGGGCAGGGGGAAAGCCGAGGTTCTGCAAGTGTCCCTGGCTCAGGTGGGCCGTGCTGTCGGTTTGGACCGTCAGGGGGGTGAAGGGCTCTTTCCCCAGCAGTCGGTTCTCATCTACTTTGGGGCCATCCCTGAGGGGGCTTTTCAGTTCCTCGCCGCTCAGGCTTCCCCCCCGGGTGCTGGAAGAGATGGTAGCCGGGCTGTGCCGGGAGTCCGGAGGGGCTTTCTCAGTCCTCTCTCGGCTCCGACTCCCTGCCGAGTCCCCAGGGAAGAAGTGGCTTTTGGAGGGGCTGCCGCCCTTGTCCCGGGGGTCGTCCCCCGCGGTGGCAGCGGAGCTGGCCGGCGCTGGGGTGGCGGCGGTGGTCGTGCTGATTTTGCCCGACTCGTTTCCTTCTAGCAAGGGATCGTCTTTGCTGTCTGCATCGCTGTCTCCCTCGCTGGGGCAGAGATCTGCAAGACAAAGGGGGCCCGGGGCTGGGATCCGGCACTGCACATCCCGAAATCCCCACCGGGCTGGGAGAGGGGGCAGAGACGCTTCCTGGCCGGCCAGAGGTTTGTGTGGAAATACTTCCCTTTCTTTATTATTATATAAATAAATACAGCCCCCGGCTCCCACCGCCTGCCCCGTCCAAGTCAGCCCGAGTTTTACACAACGCTGCAAAATTGGCTGCGAAACAAAGCAGCGACCCAGAGGAGCGACCCCCCAGCCGGGCGGGCCCGGGGCCAGCAGCTCCGCTCCCCGGGGCTGCCGGAGCCCCCAGGGACCCCCCTTCCCTTCCCGGCTGCAGCGGGGGTAGAGGAGGAACGGGACAGCAGCGACCTCGGGACAGGGCTGAAGGGCCTTGGGGATGTGTCTCCTACTAAGTTTTCCAAAGTTTTCATCCCTTTCAACGGGCAAACTTTGCAAACGCACGCAGAGACACCCGCAGCCGTCTTCATCACCCCCCGGGCCCTCCTTCTCCCCAAACACATGCACGGCTTCGCTGGATTCCTCTGCACTTCATCTCCTAATTTCAGCGCCCCAGGTGCGAAGCTCTGCTTTGCTTTTCGGGTCCCCTCCCAGCTCCCCTCCCCTCAGCTCGGCAGGCCTTTTAAAAAAAAAACGAGTAAAGCAACTACAAAAAAGAGGTTGTTTCCTCCTCCCCCTGCCCCCCCCCCGCCCCGGGATGGATTAATACATACGAGAGAGCTGCAGACAGCTCCCAACCCCGCACGGAGAAACCCAGGGTGACTTTTCTATAACAAAGTTCGCGACTGTATCCAGGGGAAAGATCCTTCCTCTAGTAACAGATTCAGTGAGGGATATTAATGGAGTGGCTCCAGTTTTGAACTTTTGCCCCGTGGTCTGTCTTTGCTCCCTTGACTCGGAGCTGGCTCCTTTCTGAACCAAGGAGGGGAGGGATGAATGTGCAGCAAGGGGAGAGGGAGGCCAGGGGGGAGAGGGAGAAGGAGAGGAAGAGTGAGGAAGGCAGAGAGAGGAGAGTGAGGGGGGAGAGGGGAGGAGAGGGAAAGACAAAAAGAAAGGAAACAAGAAGAGTGAGGGCAAGAAGGAAAGAGGGCAGAAAAACTATATAGAGAAAGAATAGAGAGAAGAGAGCAAAGGCAAAACATGAGAAAAGAAGGGAAGAGGTAGGAAGCAAAGCAAGAGGGAAGGAAGGAAAACAGGGCAGTGCCAGAGGGCAGTGGTACAGGCCAGGATTTGCCACCACAGAGCGGGCACCCAGGCTCTCCCAGAGGAGAGCAGGGGCCACAGCTCTCACCTTTGAGGCTGGAGGTGCCCACGGCAGGCACGGCAGGACAGGAGGACTGGGCAAAGCACTTGAAGGCCGTCTGCTCATTGGACGACTCGTCCGAGGTGGGATTCTCCTTCTTCTGCCTCTCGTCATACACCCGCATGGACTGCAGGGTCAGCTGCTTCCTGCGGGCACAGAACCCGCTGGGCGAGGGTCCCCAGCGCCCCCCGGGACCCCCCTGCTCCCCAGCCCCTCCTGCAGCTCCCTCCCACTGGGGCACGAGTAGCACAGGGGAATGAAGAGCCACGGTCCCCTCGAGGAGGAAAGCGCGTTTCTGGCAGGCAGGGCTTGGCTGCTAATGAGAGGAGATTTCTTGGAAGCTGAGCAGCTCCTCAGCGAGGGCTGATATTAAAGACAAGGGGCGGAGGGGAGAGGGAAGCATTCCCTGGAGATTAGCTTTTAAAAGGCAAGGATGTTCCAGAGATATGAGCCATCTTAATGGTTGCTAAGATTGCTAGGAAGTGGTTATTTTGTTAGGCACTTTATGTAATCTTTTCACCAACAATTAACCCGGAGTAAAAAATCTATTTATATTTAGAGAAATTAGAAATCATTTCCGTCCTGTGGCTCCAGCGCTGGCTTTATTTTCACACTGATGGACAAGAGGAGCTGGCATGTGCATGTTTGTGTGTGTGCTGGGCAGGGAGAGAGGCTTCTTGGTTTACACCACGTTCCCCCCACCTTTTTATTTTGCTGTTTGTTTGAAAAAAAAAAAAAGAGAAACAGATCTATTTATTCATTATCTAACCCCCTGTGCAAATGGCTAAAATATCCTGTCTCCGGTAACACAACAAAACAGACATATCCCCCATTAAAGGAAAAAAATCTTCCCTTTTTTTCCCTGTGTATTTTCTTTTTATATTAAAAATAAAAGTCTTGAGTCCCATTATAATGAGTTCTGTCTGCCTACCTGGGGCACAAACTCTGTCCTGCTGCTTTTAGGAAAAATAAAGAATCTTCTATCATTAATTACTTCCATATTCATGAGATACCTCTGTCCAAACAGTTTATTTCTGTGTTTCTCCTCCATTTCTGTGTTTATTTCTATGTTTCTCCTCCATTTTACTCTTTTCCAGGCCATCCCCAGAAAAATGCCAGAAGAGATTCAAGCAGTGCTCAGCCCTCACTTGTCCCTCTTCTCCAGTCCCAGATCCAAACTACACTGTAACATTCCCTCTCAAATTTGTAAGGGAAAGCTTTTTTCTAGCAATATTTGCTTAATGTACTGCACTCCCTTTGGCCAGTCATCCCCTGTGACGTGAACACGAAACGTGGAAAGCAGGAAAGAATTCCCATGCAATCCGTTTGACGCTATTAACGCCAAGATCCTTATGGATTTTGGCGGGGGGAAGTGTGGTTTGGAGGCAAGGCAAGGTGATTTTGACCTCTGCTCGTGTTCTGAGCTTAACACATGAAAACCAAACGAGGCGCCTGTAAAGAATCGAGCCAGACTCACCTCTTTTCCCTCCTTCCATTCCCGGTGTCCCGAAAACCTTTGGCAAAAGGGTTGTTGTCAATTTTTAATTGCGTGATCTATAGGATAGAGAGAAAAAAAAAATAGCCAGGGGGTTGGGGCAGAATAAGGAGATTTTTGTATTATAAAACAACAGCAAACCCCACTCTTCCCAGTTCCCCTAGTGCTGGCAGGAGTAGGACAGGGCAGGGGGCAAAGGTCTCTGGATTTTGGGTGAATCCATGCGTTTTCCCGAGCTGTTTGGAGGCAGCTCGCCCCCAATCCCCCGCCGGGCTGGCCGCTGACCCGGACCGTGGTGGCAATGAAAGAGCCCCGTGTTGCTGCCACCACATCGGAGTTAATTGAGCCATGCAATGAGATCCATGCAAGTTATGCCTGTGCTTAAAACTCTTTAAATACCATAATTAAACCGCAAAAGGAATCATACCCACCCCCTTGCTATAATAAAATACTTTATATAATCGCATTATGCTCCGTGTGTGTTGGGGCGCCAGGGGTGCCAGGAGCCAGTTGATATTTTTTGGGGGGTTGTGTGTGGAAGTTTTTCGGTTTGGGTTTCCTCGGGGCTCGGGTTATGGCAGGGAATGGCTGTGGGAGGGATGGGGGGTGCGGGACATCCCGCAAGTGCCGGGTGCCCGCTCACGATGCGCGGAGCCGAACCCGCAGCCCGGCCGGGGCTCACCCCGCTGGAACAGGATGCGAGCAGTGGGAACGGGAAGGGGAACGCCGCCTCCCCGCCGCTCCATTCCCGGTCTCGGGCCGGGCTGCAAGCACAGCGACCCCCCAATTTAGGAGCAGAGGATGACCCCGAAAAGGAAACCCCGCCTGGCCCGAGTGCGGGCAGGAGCAGCCCTGGCTCCCGAGTCACCCCCCCGCCGCACACACGGGAGCAGGAGGGAGCAGGAAAACCCCACTGCTAAAACCAGCGGGACTTTTAATCCAGGTGCTCCCGGCCGTGCCTTCTGCTCCCCCCGCGCCGAGCCGAGGGCTCCCCGCCGCTTCCGCACGCCGCTTCCCAGCCGATTTCATGGCAATCACACAACTATGCTCATTTCTGTCCTTCAACCGAGCCGCCCCCAGCTGATAGAGCGGGCCGGCCAGCCCTGCTGATAAGTCCCAAAGCAAAGTCTACTCTCTCTACACCCATTTTCTTTCAGTTTCCTTGCAAGTGCCTGGCTGCAGAGAGAAAGGAAAATAGCCCGAGCCCCGAGGTGGAAGAGGTTTTTTGGAAACCGAGGGCAGAAGGGTACAGACCCTCCCTTTTCACCCCCGAATTTTTTACTGTGGAGGATGTGAGGGGCAGAAAAGGCACAGGGGAGCTGCAGCGAGCGGGCGCTGCGCATCCAGAGCCTCTGCGCTCAGCGCAGGCGAACGCAAAGTTGTAATTCACAGACAACAAAAAAATCAAAGCCCCTTTTTTGGCTCCTTCGCTCCCTTCCACTTGACTTAATAATCGTAAATTCGCCGTTTGCCACTCTCCCAAATATACCACCTTCATTGCAAGCGACAATAAACCAGCAGCAATGGAAAGGCAGCGTTTGCAGTGCTGCAAAACTTTCTCACACGGGCTTTTTCAGCCCTTCCAGCTAAAGTCAAGCGAGATACCCCTCTCTGACCAGAGCATATTTCTGCACCACAGAAAATAATAAAACACTGCAGGATGCAAAAAAAAATATCATAATATAATAATAATAGGAACCAGACGTGCGCTCCAGCCTTATTGCCAATTGCTCTTAAAGGAGCTAAAACAGCACAAAGGCCAGGAAGAATTACAAAATCTCAGACCCGCTGCTCTCCCCACTCTGTCTTTCGACACACGGAGCTGAGTCTTTTTTATTAATTTTTTTTTTCCCCTGATGCATCTTAGATTGAATCCACACTAAGAGCAGCAAACCCCACCCCATCCCTTTCCTCATGCTGGAGAGATACACCGGGGGGGAAAAAATGGTAGAAAACCCTTAAACATTCTCTCCCTCACTCCCTGTCCTCCCTCCTTTTAATTGCCTTCCCCGAGGTCGGTATTAGGAGAGTGCTCGACCCCCTCCCCCAGCGCCTTCCCCCAAGTTGGATCAAGGAGGTTTTGGGGCAAAAGATGAAGGGGGGGAGAGAGAGAAGAGCGGGATGGGCTTCGTGAGTTTTAAGGGAACAATGCAGAGTAAAAGTTCTCTTAAAAGCCAAAACACGTAAAACAAATCCTCTCTTAATCTCCTTACCTTATCATTCTGGTATGCGGTCACTGCGATGAATTCAGTCTCCGGGAAAACGTAGGTCCTGAACGTGCTGTAAGGAAGCTTGAGGATATCGTTGGCTCGGACGATGTGGAACCGGGGCTGGTACTTGTGCATGGAGTTTAAAATGGTCTGGGTGGGGGGCAGCGGCCGGCACAGAGAGGGCAGGAGGGGGGGAAAGAAGACGGTCAGCAGGAGCAGCATTTCCCCCAGCCATCGGCACTTTCTCCTCCTAATTTGCCTTCCCTCTCCTTCCTCCCCTCACTCCTCCTCCCCGCCAAGCACACTCCAAACACACGCACACGCCTCGCAGCATCCAACTAAAAGTACTGACAGCTCCAGCTCGCCGGGCTTAGGCTCCCGCTGGACCTCTCGAAGGAGAGGAGACAGAGGGGAATCTCCTCAGAGCTCTGCTCGGAGAAGGGGACAAGCTGTTTGGGGTCCGGCAGCAATGTCTTTTGATTTCAAAGTGTAAAAAAAAAAAAAATAAAATAAAATAAAATCAAGTAAAGCAGGAGCAGCAGCTACAGTTGCAAAACCACCACGAGACCTCGGCTCGGTCTAATTGCGTGCCCCAATTCACTTAAGGCCTTCTGCGAACGGCAAAAATGTATCGTCTAATCAAATCACAGCAGCAAATGCAATCTTCGGCACATTAGAGATCCCCCGGCCGCGGCCACCACCAGCAAGCCCCGGCTCCGAGGTGGAGGCTTTCCCAGGAATAGAAAGAAATGGCCAGGATCGACAGAGCACTTATCAGCAGGTTTGTTTGATTTCACTCTCAGGGTAAGTTTTTATCTCTGCACACCCGGTAAATGTAAAGGAGTGGATAGACATGAATGGGCAACTTGACCTCTGCTTTTGGTCCCTGTTTATTTTCACTCCGGCTTGCTTTACATTATCCAGATTAATATAGATTTAAACGTTTGCGTACTTAGGCCTTTAAGCCCTTTATACACATATGCATATCGTTTTCCTACGCTTAGAAAGTGTGATCGACTTTATTAAAAATATATATAGATATATAAAGTCACCGCAGCTCTGAGAAATATCGAGTTGCGCTGCGCTGGAAATGTATCCCTAAAGTTAACGCTGCATGGCACGGGGAGGTTACAGAGTAAACTCCAGGCTTTAATCCTGACCCCAGCAGGAGGAAAAATCAAGGAGCGTTATAACCCGGCCAGATGCCCGTCCCCGGGTGCGTGGGGAGCTCTTGCTGCCCCGTTTTCCCCGCATTTCGGCCGCCCGCCGGAGCTGCCAGCGGGACCAGCCCGGCCGAGCAGCCGCCGTGCTCCGGGCACACCCCCCGGGACCCCCCGCTCCGGCCGGCTGGAGAGGGAGGGGAAAAGCGGGGCAAAGGAAGGTGTAAAAGGCACTCACAAATCCGTGCTTGTCAGAGATGTTGTTAGTGAGCTTCAGCTTGTGAAAGGTGACGACTTTGGACATCCATTGTTCGCCGGTGGCCGGGCTGTCCGGGTGGATGTACATTCTCTTTGGCATTTCAGGGTCAGCCTTGCCGGCTACCATCCACCGGGAATTATGGAATTTGTACCTACAATCATCAGCCGCCACAATATCCATCAATAAAATGTACTTGGCCTTTTTATCCAGTCCAGTGCATCTCACTTTAAATGGAGGAAACATTCTCCTATGGGCAGAGGGGGGAGGGAGGAAGTGGGGGGAGAAAAGACAAGAGAAAAATAAAATAAAATTAATTACAGCGTTTAAATAAGCTTCTGAATTTTGGTAGCGCGTCTACTAAGCAATTTCTTCAGCTCTCAGAAGCAGCAGAGTAAGTTTGTATCCAGCAAAAAGGTTTCCTTTCCTCTCCTCCCCCCCCCCCCCACCCCCCCGCCCCCAGCGAAAAGGTTTCTCAAATGCTTAAAAGTTGCAGGAGAAAATGGTCCCTGGATGGGAAAGGTACGCATTCCCTAGAAATCAGCAGGCGCCTACCTCTCTGCCATTCCTAAACAGCAAAGGCCCATTTGGGGCTCTCTGATCTCTCATTAGTTTCCTTTTTGCTTGCTAAACAAAGAAATGGGAGCTGATCGCACCCCGATAAAATAAATCGTCTGAACTATTACAACGCAGCCTCCCGATAAAGTGCGGAGTTGTACACTTCGCAGACGAGAATAAAAAACCCCCAGCGAGGGCAGCGTGGCCGCCGGGGCTCTCCCCGTGCTCCGGCCAGCCGGGGATCCCCCCGTGTGCCGAGGGCTCTCTGCAAACCCCGCTCCCCTCCGCTCCCAGCTCCGGCTCCAAACTGCAACAGGATACCACAAATTTGCTGTTTATTATATCGAGTGGTTGGCATTCAGCAAATCTCAACTTAAAAGGAAACACATGACTTTGCAACATGTAAGAGCTCTTAATACTGGCCGAGGCTTTCACGCAAAAACTTTTGACCACAATTAACAGAAAAAACTTTGGGAAAGCAGTAAAACGGGCGAGGAGATTTTTTTTTTTCTCCTTGCTGCTTTTAGGGCTTCTATTTATTTTTTTTTCTCCTGAGCCTGTAGCCTGCAACTGGTGCCTTGCAAATAGGCGAAGCTCCAGCAAGGCAGCTGAAGGCCATCTAAGAAGACTTTTCAGGAGTGGCTTCCTCGAGTAATTCTCCTGGCAAATCACATGTGGAGAGTTTGGGAGGTTTCTCAGAGAGCCCCTTAGAAAAACACCCGGGTGCAAAGGAGGTTTTCACCCTACGTATCATCACAGCAATAGGTAGAGTTGTAAAAGAGTCCAGATGTCAATGAGTAGCGAATATAGAGAGAGATTTCAGACGGGTAAACCTATAAAAAGCAGAAATGCCGAGCGTGGACGCGCCGTGTGTGTTCATTCATTCCCACGTGAAGGTTACATAAATATAGGGACAGGCAGCGCGGAGCTGCAAACCCTTCCCTGCCGCTCCAGCAGCGGCTGCAGGATGGCTGGGGAGTTTTGTCAGCTTTTCTGTACATTTGCAGACATAACCAGCCAGCACAAACCCAGCCGAGATCCCAGCACAGAGAGAGTGACACACCGAGCCTATCTGCCCCCCTGCCCCACCAGCAGCCAGACGCCTCTCCAAAGGATTTTTCTTTCATTTCCCTTTCTTAAGGAAGAAAAACTGCGTGTAGCGAGGCTGAAAACCAGGCCATCCCCTTTGCCAACCCCAAATTATTTTCTTCCTGCTCCGAGTCTTCTCCAGCAAGCATTAAGCTACTGAAGCATGAAGGGACCCTCTCACCCCCTGCACACGCACATGCTGAGCAGGGCCGGGTCTCGCTTGGGCTTTTCCCGGCAGCCTGGAGCCCCAGACGGGCTCGGATCTTCAGCTGCCTGAAGCTTTCCATAATTACAGGTGAAAGGAGATTTACGGAGGAAACCGCCGGAGAGAGAGCCTTGCCCTGGCGGGGTGCAGAGACTGAGGGTGGGGGATTGGGGGGGAAAGGCACGAACCCCAGACCCAGACCTACCTTCCCGATTTGGTAATCACCATCTCTGTGCCTCTTTTATGGAATTGCTCCCAAAGCTCTTTAGCTTCCAGATGCACTTTCGGATCGTCTTCTACCTCTTCTTCTGGCTCCAGAGTTTTTAAAGGCCTCAGATGGGCTGCTGCCTGGTGACCCAGGGAAGAGAAGGGAATACCAGTCTCTGCAGCCCCCACTAACTGATCCATGATGGGTTTAGCCAGAGCCCCGGGAAGGGAGAGGGCGGCTGCCCCGTTGGGAGGCAAAGCCAGAGCCGGGAAGAAGGGAGGCTGATGTCCCAGCACGGCGCTCATGGCAAAGTCCGGTGCCCGGTGCGGTAAAAAGGGATGATAAGCCATGCTTGTCCCAGGGATTACTGGATCTCTCATCGGTAAATTCATCCACTCCACTCCTCGGTCTTCCTACTGCTGGAGTAGTCCCGGAGTGGTTTCTAACAGCACATCACGAAGAAGAAAAATTAAGATAATAATAATAACAGAAATAAAGCACCAAAAAGGAAAAAAAAAAAAAAAAAAAAAAAAGGGGGGGGAAAAAAAAAAAAAAAAAAGGGTTGGGGAAAACAAGCTCTAAACAGCACAGTACATGAGGGAGAGGCAGAACTTCTACAGCCTACAACTTCCCGAGCCGGGGCACATCCCCAGCCCTCGGGACAGCGGATTAACAGGATTGTTCATTATTAGTCTTGCTTTTTCTCGTGTTCGGTCTCAGAGGCTTTGTTTTGCTTTTTAGTTGTTCGAGTTTTTTTCCTGAGTGGAAGTCCTTGTACTGGAAAAGAAACGCCGAAGAAGGGAAGAAAAAAAATCCACCGGGTTCGCTGTCTGCTCCTGTTGCCGCAGAAGAGCTGGACAAGCCGAAATCCTTTTTTTTTTCTTCTTCTTTTTTTCTCTTAGTCCCAATCCCCCTTCTCTTCTTCCGTGGCGGAGGGTGACGGCTCGAAGCTGGGTTTTCTTTTTGGGTGGCTGGCTCTCTTCCCCCTCCCCCCCACCCCTCCACCTTTCCTCCGTACGGTCAGGCTGCAGAGCAGAGGCTGTGGAAGGAGGGAAAGCAGAAAGAAGCAAACAAACCCACCCCCCCTCGCCGGCCGAGGAAGGCTCCTGAGCAACCTTCAGCAGCAAAAACTTGTAGGGAAATCTCGTTTCCGCCTCGCCTTCCTCACTCCCCAAGCAGGAGCTGGTCAGGGTGTCCTGATTTCCATCAGGATCTCTTCTTTCTTTCACCCTCCTCTTTTTTTTAATTTTTTTTTTAATTTATTTTCCCCCTCTCTTTCTCTTTCGCTGTGCCTTAAAAAAAATCTGGCAGAATTATACTGTTGTCTCCATAAAGGAGAGAGAAAGTGAGAGGGAAAGAGAAAGGAAGAGAAAAAGGGGGGAGGGAGAAAGAGAGGAAAAGAGAAAGAGAGAGAAGAGAGAGGGAGAAGGAGCCTCTCTGCTCTGAGAATTCCCTGTGAGTCTGTGCTCTGCGTGCACCCGATCGTAGGGATGTGTTGTGGGTTACAGGGGAGCTGGAGCCGCCTTGATTGGCTCTTTGACGCTTTCGGACCAATTGTGAGGCTCCATAGGCGGGGTTCTGACAGCTCGGGTGGAGGGGGACAGCGCCGAGTTATAAAAAGAAGGTGTCGGAAACTGTAACGCTGCAGCAAAGCATCACTAGTACTTCGGGCCGTGTGAATATGTCAACATGATCAGAGGGGAGGGAGGAGGGAAGGGGCCGGCAGCGCCCGCCTCTAGGGGGGTGCTGGGGGCCGCCTCGCCCCCCGGCCCCGGCCTCCCGCCGCCCCGGCAGCCCGGGCGCTTCCCGGCCGCTCTCCCCCGGTAGGAGCTTCCCGAGCGCCGGCTAGGGGGGGCTCCACGCGTGGCGGTGGGGGGGGTTCCGAAGCTGCGTTCCCCCCTTCCCCAAACGCCGCCGGTACCGTAGCGGGGTCCCCCTGTGTCCCCCCCGGCCCGGAGCCGCCTCGGGAGGCCGCCGCGCCGCACGCCCATCCCCGCCGCGCCGCGGCTGCCGCCGGTCCCCGCAGCCGCCGCGTTGGTGTCACCCCCCGGCCGCTGCCGCTGCCCCCGCGCCGTTTTTTCCCCACCCCGGCAAAGTTGCTTTCCTTAAACGACACCTCCAGGCCGGGAGCCGGGCGCTTTGCTTCCCCCCGCGAATCTGGGGGTGAGCTCCGGGGCTCGGGGGTGGCTCTGCGGCTCTGCCCCCGCTCGGAGCTCGGCTCCGGCGGCTCCCGCGGCCGCGGCCGCCGTTATTATTGTTGTGGTGGGCGGCTGGAGGCTGCGGCGGGCGGGCGGGCGGCGGCCGCCGCTGGCTCAGCTCCGGCCCCGGCGGCTGCCGATCGAGGCGGGTGCTCGCAGGGAAGCGGGAGGCCGCTGGAAAATGGGATTTTAATGTATTTATTATTCCTTCGTTCTTTCTTTCTTTGGCGTTGCCGATTAAGGCCACTCGGCTGGCACCGGCGCCGACAGGGTTACGCTCCCACACCCCTCCTCTTCCACGAGGTGCGCGGGGAGGAGACGGGAAGTGCGGCTTTCCCTGCGCCCGGGCCGGGGCAGCGCCGGGCGGGGGGGGCCCAGCTCCGGGTTAACCCGGGCTCGCATGGAGCCAGCCACCCCCCGGGGAAGGCGTCACGCGTGGGTTTGATCCGACCCCACGGAGAGGGAAGAGCCGAGCAAGATCCTCCTGGGAAGTTTCTGGGGAGATCTGTTCCCTTGGGGGGGCGGATGTGGGTGTGACAGCGCAGGGCAGCAAGAGGGGGCTTGTGACTGTGCGTGTCGTGGGCATGCAGGGCACGGAGCGCCCACGCGTGTCAGGCACGGTATCCCAGCGCTGGGAGGTGCCGAATCACTACCCTGCCCTGGGGAGGGAGGGGAGAATCTCCTGACGCCCCCCACCCTGCTTTAAACAGGGGAGGATAATCCTCCGGGAGCGGAGCGGGGGAGCGCGGGGGCTCGGCTCTGGCTGCGCGCAGATGGGAGCGGAACCTCTAAAGTGATTAGCTCTTCTAACATTGCATTTTTGACGCACATGGTTAAGAGCGCTTGGCGCCAGCTTGGTGAAGTCCCTGTAGTAACCAGCGTCTAGGATCGCTTTGCATTCACCAAAATATCTCCCCTTTAGTCGGGGGTGGGGGTGAAAAGAGGAGGAGGGAGGAAAGGAAGCGGGAGTAATGCGTTCAAAGAGGATGAGGGGGGGAAGTCTGATGTGTTCCACGAAGCCAGGAGCCTGGTTACCCGCGCAGCGCTCGGCTGCGCTGTGCGGCTGCTTATCGACCAAGAGAGCGAGTCTTTCCAACCTCTGCTCGGAACCGGTTCTCGGGCTCCTGCCGCGGTGGGAACCCCCAAAACCTATATGCCTTCCCTTTATCAGCGTCCACAGCAAACGCCCGGCGGCCTCAAGAAGTTTGCTGCAATTTACCCCGGCCGGGCCGCCGCTCTCTCACGGCGACCGGGAGGTGCCCGCGGGCTCCCGCGGGACAAGCCCCCGCGCCCGCCCCGCCGGAGCGCGCCCTCGGCGCCGCGGCAGAAAGCGGAGTCGCTGCCGCCCTCCGCGCCTGCCCCGCACCTTGCGCCGCGCTCCGCACCCAGCCGCGCAAGAAAATAAAATGTTTGCCGCTTATGATTTCCAATTCCAGCGTCTGACTAATGGCGTGCAAACTTCCGCCAGTTCCGAGTGACCTCCCCGACGAAGCCCCCCGGAGACTCGTATTATGAAGGGAGGCTGCACTAATCTAAGATCAAAAGCGGGAAGGTGCGAACAGTCTTTGTCTCCCTTCGGCCGCCTCATTCCCCCTTCTGTGTGTGATAAATCTACCCTGGCGCCGACTGCGCGCTGGATGATTAATTTGCAAGCAAACAAAAGGGACCTGATGGCCAGCCATCTTAGTTAAATATTGGCCAGTGCTTCCAGCTACTTGTTAGCCTCCTCTTTGCCTGAAATAAATAAGCAAGGCGCAGAAGTAAATAAATAAGGAGAGCCGCAGAAATGAATGACAAAGCGAAGGGATGGTACGGGCGCAGAAGTAAATAAATAAGGAGAGCCGCAGAAATGAATGACAAAGCGATGGTACGGGAGTAAGGGGAAAAAAAAAAAAAAGAAGAAGAAAAAGAGATCAGGGTGGCTGACGGTGAAGCGGGAGCGGGTGGAGGTGGGAATGAGGCTGGTGGAGGGGGGAGCCAGGGTGATAGCACGCTGAGATAGCCGGCTGCCCCCGCGCCTCCCGGCCTGTCTGCAGCCTGGGCTTGCACCAAGGCCGACACTATCTTGGCTCTTCAAAGAGGCATGAAAGGTCTCCGCTGTCTCCCCGGAGAGCGGCCAGGCCGGGGCTGTCTAATCTCGGAGCACAAGAGCTAAAGGCCAGGGAGCGGGGAGCGGCTCCCACCCTCCCCAGCTCTTCTTCACCATCGCCAGCACCTCGATGGGTTTTCCCCGGCTGAATCCAGACCCCGGGTCTGTGGTGGCTGAGCGGCTGGGAGAGCTCTGCTTCCTCGGATTTCACCCTCCTAAGCAACTTTTAGCGTTTGCACGAGAGCTCGGCGCTGCAGCGAGCATTCCCCGTGCGTTATGTGTTGGAGGTGTGGGAGGAGAGAGGCTTTGGCTCTCTCCCGGTGGCCTGAAGAGCCAGCTGGAGGAAGGAGGCAAGAGGGAAATAAAGGCAGCCCTGCTTTCGGGCCCACACGTCCTCTCCCAGGCCTGCGGGAGCAGCTCCGAGGCGTGTGTGCGTGCGTGGAGGGGCTGTGTGCGCTCCACGGCCTTGCGGAGATGCGCCGTGGGTGTGTGGCACCGCGAGGGATTCGTGCCCTGGGGCACACCGCCAATCCCCGCTCCGACAGCAGCCCCTGAGGTGTCCCTGACACCCCCTCCATGCGCTGGGTGCTCTGCAGGAAAGAACAAGCCTCGGTGCATGGTGAGCAGGGCCAACGTGCACAGCCTAAGTGGGGTTTTGCATCCTATCTATGCATTTCCTTATCGCGCTGCCTGTTCCAAGCATCCCCAGGGGCCCAGACCCATCCTGCCTGCCAGCAGCTCTGCATCCTGCGGGATTTATCCCTCTCCTCCCTCCCTTTCCCACGGCGATGCAACCTCTGCTCCGTCTCCAGCCCTTCAGAAGGCACCACCCCGGCGTGGCCACGCTGTGTTTATCCGAAATAAAACGCAGCGGGCTGGTTTACTTTGGCAGGTTTGCAGTAAATACTGGCTGGAGCACGGGGGGCATCTGGGGAGTGGTGATTACACGCTTCTTCCGAGGGAAAGTGTGCCCAGCCCCGGGCAGGCCCTTCCCCAGCCCCGCAAAAGGTGTCAGGAGATGGGGGCCGTGTTGACACAGATCCATCCCGGAGTGGCACTGCAGGCCACAAGTGTAACAGAGCAGCTCCCTTAGGGAGCTCGTCTATACACTTGGATTATACAAACTGCTATGGGGAGAGCGGGGAATCACTGCAGCAGTTCTTTGCCTTGCCCTTTGGCAGAACACTTCCTCCAATTGCAAATTGGATTTCATGGAAAGCCTGGCCCAAAAACTTTAGAAAACAACCTGCCAGAGTCTAAAAAAGCGTTGTGAGGCATTAAAAATACCAAGAATTAAATCCCCCACGTCTCTCTCTGAGCAGGCTCAGCCCCATCGTCTCCCACTGAAATCGAAGGGGCCGTTCCCATCTCGGTGAACAGAAGATCCCCCAGCAGGGGGATCAGGCCCCCTTCCCAACACAGCCGAGGTGAGGGCTTTGCAGAGTTGGGGGAAGCCCAGAGACAGCACTGCTTATTGTAACACTGGGAGAAAAAAGAGAGGAAAGCACCACTTGGAGAGGTTTCTCCACCACCAGCTCTCACTGGGATGCAATCCTCAGGGGAAGGCTGCTCGTGGCCCAGCCTGGTGGGAGCAGTGCAGCACTGAGTGTGGCAGAGCCACTGCGGGGTGAGGCAGTGCTGTCCCCCCCCAGCACGGGGTCAGCACACTCTGGCAGTGAGCAGCTCTTCACAGCCCCCAACTCCCCTCACTCCTCCTGGGCACCCAGAGCCTGCTCGGGATCCTGCCAGCTGCTGGCTCTGGTGGAAGCCCAAAACATCAGGGCTCCAGGTGCTCATATCACCAGCCCTGCCCCAGTTCCTCCCCTCCCCACAAGACCTCATCTCATCCCCATCCCAGCTGCTCTGACATTCTCCTGTTGCCTCCACTTTGTCCCAGACTAGAAAAGAAAATGAAGGAGCACCCAGAGCTGCCTGCTGCAACTCTCCCCTCTGCCTCGGGCCAGGCCCAGCCTCGCCGACCAAGGCATGTCAGGGCACAGCAAGGTTTGGGGCCGGACCTCTTCCCTCCCAAGCTCACATCCCTTTTTACTTTTTCTGAGCCCTTTTTGCACCATTCAGCTTCTGCTTGCCACAAACCAACACCTCCTGCACTCACAGACCTGGCGACCCTTTCCACCCCCTGGTCTTATTCTTCTCACCAATGTGCTGCTGGCAGAAACAAAATGAAAATCCTGTTTCCTCCTTTGCCCTCTCTACACCCATCCTCCTGCTTCCACCACCGTTGGCCGAGCAGAAATTGTAAATAGAGTTCACTATTTGGATAAGGCTTTTTTTTTTTTTTTTTTTTTTTTTAATACCCAAGCCATACATCCAGTTTGCTGCTCAGGAAGTCGCGCTAATTGTCCTTTCCTATAGTCAAACAGATCTATCTTTTCAATGCTGCCTTTGTGTCTCTGCGTGCGAGGGAGAAAGAGGGAATGAGTGGATACGTTTATTCAATTATTTAAACA